GTGTTTCCACTGACGTGCGAAGAGTAAGTGTCTGATAATCTTTTGTCCCTCAAGAGGAGGGTTAAACATGGATTCCTGAACTGCCTCAATAATGTCACAGTGTTCTCATATTCATGGAACATCCATAATCTGGAAACCCAATATGCCTCGGTAGCCCAACGGCTACAGCACAGGATTATGGCTTAAAGGTCATTGCATCGAATCCCATCAGATTTTTTATTATTTACCTGTTTTCTGTATTTTTCTATTTTTATCCATTTAACTATTTCTTTCCAATTAAGGAAATATTTACATGATTTATTAAATTATTTACAACAATTTTATAACAACAACAAATTTTTACAACAATTAAATTTTTTTTTTTTTAATAGGGTTAGGGTTAGGGTCACAATGCACCATAAAACAGGAGTTTCAGGCACGCGATTTGTATCAACCAATGGGATTTGGGAGGTATGCAGAATGCAGAAGGTTGCTGAAATGATGTGTACGCAACTGCGTATCTGCATATCTCCTTCAACAAAGGTGTCACTACGCATGACTTAAATGTTACGTTTATAACCGTAGCAACAGACCTCAGATGAGCCCAGACGCTCTGCGGCTCTTGTTTGAATTTTCTTTAATAGTTCTCAAGAGTTCCTGTGAATTGCAACAATGACCTTTGTTTTATTGAAGACCCTAAATACCAAACAAAACAATAGATCTTTCTCACATTGACTTTTATCTATCACTAATAACCCCTCATGTTATACAAATGATGTTATATATCAACAGCATTTGTTCCACCCTGTCTCTATACATTACACATATATGCATGGCACGACATAATTTGTACGGAATTTACAGGAAACTGTCGGCAATAATAGTTAATACTAGGTGAAAGAGAGTATAGAAACATTAAGAATTTGGTAGTAAATAGATTTCGTATTTATTTAGCATTATATTTTATTGAAACGCTTCAACTTCAAGTCAACTTCAAGTGCGCTTTCTGGTGCAAATCCACTTTAGGCACCTTAGGTATCACGAAGTGATGCAAAGATTTCTGTGTATCATCAACTGATGCACAGAATTTCCGTATATCAAGGAATGATGCAAAAACCCTAACCCTAACCCTAACCCTAAGCCCAACCCTAACCCTAACCCTAACACACTTCGTGATACCTAAGGAGTAAGGTTATACTTTATGACTTAGGGTTAGGGTTAGGGTTAGGGTTTTTGCATCATTCCTTGATATACGGAAAGTCTGTGCATCAGTTGATGATACACAGAAATCTGTGCATCACTTCGTGATACATAAGGTGCCTAAAGTGGATTTGCGCCGCGCTTTCCTACCTGCGTCAGCGCGTGCAGCGGCAACCAGCGTTTGTTGCAGATGAGCATTTGGACGGCATTTACAGGAAATTGTCGACAATAATAGGTGAAAGAGAGTATAGAAACATTAAGACTTTTGAAGTTTTGTAGTAAATAGATTTCGTATTTATTTAGCTTTTGATAGCCTTTTTAAGGCTTTATATTTTATTGAAACGCTCCAAGTGCCTGTGTCACGTGTGACGGCGAACAGTCGGTCAATGACTTCTTATTATATAAAACTAGTTTTACCTGCCGCTCCACGTGAAATATTCTGTTGGATGAGGGACCTTGCCGGCTGTGAAAGTTTTGTTATCACGTTTCGTAACATGATTAACCAATGTTTCGGAGAGGCGTTGATTACTCGTACAAAATTTCAAAGCGTCCTTGGAAATGACGTAAACGGTTTCGCCGAAAGGGAGCGCTCCGACCTTTTCTCTAGACTGGTACTCTGTCCGACCTCTCGGCTTAGTTACTCGTTGGGTGAGTAATCGAGGTGGGAGCGAGTATCAGTCTAGGCCCCCTACTTTTCCTCTCGCAGTGGTGATATCTATGGGTGATATGCTCTGGTGATATCGCGGAAGGAAAGACTAAACTGAATCTAAAATTAATGTCACAATTTATAAAAATGTCATTGTTTGATAAAAATTATCTGCTATATCTGAGTACTGTGTGCTAGCATTTTTGATGATAACACGACAGCACAGTTAAAACTATAATATTGCATAGATGTTTATTTTTGTAAACATTTTATGGCGATGACGATAGTCTGGACTGCAACCGTATTAATACTATTATACACAAAATTGTAGATATAATTTTGTATTTTATTTTGATTATTTTTAATTATAGATTTTATTTCGCATAATTAAGACAATGAAAAACTATCAGCAAATGAATGGACAAAGCACAATGTAAAATTATTTAACCACCAGATGGCAGTATACTCTGTAAAATATTGAGCGCCTTGATTTGATTTTTGCAGTAGTTGATGTTTTTGTCTCTTCCAAATTAACAATTTTCATGAATAATATTGGTAATATTGCACTTGCACCACATGTATTTTTATGTACTATTTGAACAATCAGTATCAATAACCATTTATGACTAGAAGTTAGTGGTTGATGGGTACAGACTACAATTTACCAAACACTTTTTACACAGTAAATCACACTAAATGTGTCACGATTTTTAACCAGGCTGATTGATAGTGATACTGATAGGGTCTATGTCCCCCAGGGTACTGCCGGAACGTACCCTGGTAACTATTTAGCTGATATGGTTAGTGTTAGGGTTAGGGAGTAGGCGTAGGCGACTCTCTAGACTCGTTAGTGAAGTAGGCGAGGTACGGTCCGGTATATTACTATTACTAGATAGTACGGCCCAAGGATAGAGAACATGGGTCCTGTAAAACCAATGTGCCTAACCCTAACCCTAATTCTAACCCTAACCCTAAACCTAACCCTAACAATAACTCTAACCATAACCCTAACCTATTATATTGATATAATATTATATTTATATTGATGTAAATGACATTGGTTTTATTGGTACCGTACCCATGTTCTCTATCCTTGAACCGATAGTACTACTATTAGTAGTATTTAGTACCAGGGTAGGTTCCGGTATACCGGACCGTACCAAGTGTACGTTCCGGCAGTACCCTGGAGGACATAGACCCTATCAGCAATAGTGATACTGTGATAGTGATACAATGGTAAACCAACAGAGACATGATGATCCTCTCTCTACAGAGTTAGATTCATAGCTTGGCTGATTCATATGAAAATAATCATTTTTAATTTTGTCTTCAATATTAATTAGTATTAGGCAGTGGCTACGGGTACGGTAGCCGTATCTTAATATCTTGAGGCTACGGGTACGGTAGCCGTATCTTAATGTCTCGAGGCTACAGGTACGGGAGTCCATTCGCTTTCATACTTAACGAGACAAAGATGGCAGCGGGGGCGCCAAATTTCGAAATAACGCCTTAATTGGGAAATAAATTCACGATTTGAGAGTTTAGATGAGCTAGAACCCTAACCCTAAACCTAACCCTAACCCTAACGCCAAAAAGAGGCTTCAACGAACGACGGCTACCGTACCTCCAGCCACTGCGTTATTATTATTAAATATGATAATGTGTGGAATTAATATTGTCACATTATAATTATATTGATATTGATTATTGATAATGTAGTTGATTATTTTTGCAGCACAGTCACAGTGATTAGCCGTATAACACAAACATAGCAGACAAATATTGTCTATGTGAGCCACCAGTCTGTGGCAGGCAGCCCATGGTCTAATCCATCAGGACCATGTCTTCATACAGAAGTTTCAAGTACGCTATATAAATGGGGACGTTATTATTTGCCCTTTTCATAGTAAATACATGACTATTAGTTTAAATACTGAAAATTAACGTATTTAAAATAGCACATTTGGGATGTTATTCAGCTTATACGCCACTAGCTTATAAGTATAACCAAGATGTGGTGGAACAATTGAATAAAACTAGCAAACTGCTATGCTGTGACATCATTACAAACATCACTGCCATGCCGTCTTGACCGACATGCTAAGCCGTCTTAGTCTTCACTCAACTTGACGGAGAGTATAATGCATAATATCCTAAATCTGTTAGTGGAATTAGCTCGAACAAAATCTCTTTGTTGTATTTTGCAGTCATCAGTCTAAATCATCGACAAGTAGTTCTGCTAGCACAGAAGATGGTGACACGGGTGGCTTGACGTATCAACAAATGTTGTACAAGAACTCTTATCGAAACAAATTGCCAACTTCATCTACAAAGAAGGGGTACCCGGGGTATGCTCATAATTCGTTTCTCAGTTTCTTTTATGATAGTGTAATTCATGTGTGTTTGTTCTTCAATTCTAACGCAAACTAATGTTGCTAAGTACCATTTCATAGATCATTTTAAAAATATGTTAGCTCTAGCATAACCAATGTATGAACAGACAGGAATTACATCGTTGTTCTTTTTATTAGCTCATCTGACGTAGTCAGATGCAGCTTGTAAAATCACATGAGCGTGCGTGCGTCCGTGCATGCGTCAACAGTTGGGCACAAATCTTAACCGCTCGACTTATGGTCACAATATTCGGGACGTAGGGTGGGGGGTCGTCAAAACGAATTGGGATGTCGAAGCTGGGGGTCAAAGGTCAAGAGGTGTAAAAGAAGGGGGAACATTTCCTCCTTAACTTAAGGTATAGGGAGGAAATGCAGAATTGCGGCACAAATCTAAACGGCTCGACCTAGGCTTGTGATAGTCGGTGTATAGCATCATGGTAGGAAAAGCCATCACTGTGCCGAAATTGGAGGTCACAGGTCAAAGGTCAATGGGCACCAGGGCAGATTTTAGACATTTTCTGAGGACATGGTCTGACGGAGCGATTGAAAAACTTTTTTGTTTCTAGCGGTGGACCTACGCATTTTTATGGCTTTAGTTGAAACGGACCAATGAAAGTGTGTTTTCCACTGAACGTGCGAAGGAGTAAGTGTCTGATAATCTTTTGTCCCTCAAGAGGAGGGTTAAACATGCAGATTCCTGAAGCTGCCTCCAATAATGTCACAGGTTCTCATATTTCATGGAACATCATCAATCGGAAACGCGCAATAATGCTCGGTAGCGCCCAACCGGCTACAGCAACAGGATTAGTGGCTTACAGGTCATTGGATCCGAATCCCATCAGATTTTTTTATATTTACCTGTTTTACTGTATTTTTCTATTTTATCCATTTAAAACTATTATCTTCTCCAATTAAAAAGATCATTTACATGACATTTATTAAAATTATTTACACAATTTTATTAACAACAACTTTTACAAACAATTATTTTTTTTTTTTAATAGGGTCTTAGGGTATAGGGTCACAATGCACCATAGAAACAGGGAGTTTTCAGGCACGTGCGATTTGTATCAACCAAATGGGATTTGGAGGTACTGACGCAAGAGTTAATGCAGAAGTGCTGAATGATGTGTGAGAGCAACTGGCGTATCTGCATATCTCCTTCAACACAGGTGTACTACGTCATGACTTAAATGTTAACGTTATAACCGTAGGCAACAGCACCAATGACGATGAGCCCAGTGACGCTCTGCGGCTCTTGTTATGAATTTTGTTAATATTCTAAGAGTTCCTGCGTGAATTGGCAACAAATCGACCTTTGTTGTATTGGACAGAACCCTAAATACCGAAACAAAACAATAGACTTGCTCAGGGCCATTGACTTTATCTATCACTAATAACCCCCTTTATACAAATGATGTTTATATAGTGCAACGCAGGCAGTTGTGGTTCCACCGCTTGTCTCTGATACAGTTATCACAGTAAATACTGCATGCAGACAAACCGACTCACGTCGCTTCACTGAAATGAAATTTCTAAATCCACTGGCCTTCGGTCGGCACCAGCCAGCAAAATTTACATGGACGCGGACTAATCTTACGTCTGGAGCCATATACCTTATTTTGACACTTTTTGACAATAAAGAACAAAACAGTAATATCATTGTTGGATTCTTACCTTACTAATAACCTTTCTCAAAACACTGCATGAATACTAGTAATAAATACCTATCACAATATATACATTCACATCATTCCCCACACACCAACACACAATAGAAGCTGCAAATAGAACAACAAATCTGTGGCTTAGTCGTCAGTGAGAGTACACACATACCTTCTAAGGCAAAAACTGCATGATTAACAGTAAGGATACTTATCAAGACCATTTACTCACATACCTTCTACAAACTGCTTATGATAACAGTAAGCGATAACTATCAAACATTATCACATACCTTCTACAAACCTGCTATGACTACAGTAAGGATACTTATCAAAATTTACACAACTACCTTCTACAACTTACACACTGCTGAATGATAACAGGTAAGGATACTTATCAAAAATTTATCACATACCTTCTATAAACGCTATGATAACAGTACAGGATACTTATCAAAACATTTATCACATATAGCCATTCTAAAATGCTATGATAACAGTCAATGGATACTTAACAAACATTATCACATACCTTCTATAAAACCTGGGCCTAATGATACAGATAAGGCTACTTATCTACCCAACATTGATACCACGATACGCCCTCTAAAGCAAACTGCTAATGCACAACCAGTAAGGATACCTTGATCAAACATTTAACAGCATACCCTTCTACAAACTGCTGATGATAACAGTACGGATACTTATCAAAAACATATCTATCACAATACATTCTACACACTGCTATAGAATAACAGATCCAGGATACATTATCAAACATTTATCACATAGCCTTTCTACAAACCTGCTATGATAACGGAGTAAGGATACTTAATCAAACATTACCATACCTTCTACTACACGCATGATAACAGTAAAGGACTCCTTATCAAAACATTTATCAGCCATTACCTTCCTACAGCCAACGCTATGATAACAGTAAAGAATACCTATGACGTTTGGTTAGCGACTGAAACAAAGTTATAACAACGTGTTATGTGTACAGTAAGTAGTCTCATAAAATACTGTGATAAATATTTAAATACTTAGTATGGTGTAGAAAAAAATATGGTGGACTCTATGTCGGCGAATCGTCATCCATTTAACGCTTGATTAATTTACGGATCGCAATGAGAGATTTTGGTGGCCTGGACCACGGGTCCATCCGCCTAATCGTCGAAGACTGCGAACCACTGGTATAAATGAATTAGCCTTTTAATAGCTTTTCTTTTTCATAACTTGTAACTGTGCATTTCATAGGCGTGGAAACTACGTAGGCATGCCGCGCCGTGTTGTCTATTCGGATCTACATGAGCTTGATGACAGTGATGATAGCGATACTGGTTCCCAGGCCAGCCTGCACTCACTGGAAGACGCAGAGAAGACAGGGAATACGAGTAAGTGATCGGCGTTGCAACTATGTTCACAAGATCCTAAGTAAAATGATGCTTGGTTGGCTTATTATGAGTGTGTTATCTATTAGCTGTGATTTAGCTGTGTGTATTAAATGTCTGGACTCATTCAACACACAGCAAGGTGCTTCGGAGGTCTTTAACGCATGTCAGGTTTGAATTGCCTGAAATCGCGTTAACCCTTTCACGTGCCTTAATTTTTAATTACGTAATCGACGTGCCTTAATTTCTAGCTGTGTTTTCTAATATGTATGTTCCTCCTATGTATGTTAAAAAATAAATATTTTGTTGTTTAGTAGGTAAAACTAAAGTGTCCAGAAAAGAAGTATGTCATTAATCTTTAAAAAAAAAATGTATTGGAAACCCCCTCCCAGACCCTCTCCTCCCATCCATCCATAAACAACATGCCTGACGAAATTCCTAGGGAAACCTCTGGACACGTTTGTAAAATGTGGTCACCATACTCCACAATCCTTCTGTTACATGGGATGACCCAAATTTATGCCTTTTATTGCTGCAGATTCACTAAGTATCTACTCTTTTGATCGACGCTTCCCCTTTATGAAGAGTGCTGTCTCAGCACCTGTAAATGAGACTGCAGACCTCAAGGCAGCATCAAGGTCCGTTGCTGTAAAGCCAGAAGACATGAGCAGCAGCAAAGATGCTCCTGCAAACCACCTACATAGACCACTGCAACCATCTTTTACTGGGTCGAATTCTGCTTTCGTTGCTGTTAAAAAGATCACACCCATGCCACACTGTGATGTCAGCGCTCCAGGCGCATCACGTGATGTTTTCGGCACTGCACACCTAGAAAGTCATGACTTTAATCAACAGCAGAGAGAAGAAATGTACCAGTCCGTAGACAAAAGCAGCGACATTAATTCGAAACTCGCTTCACCTTCTAGAGGAGGTCAAGTGAAAACTCCTCCAGCGACGCCGACGAAAAACCACAAGTTTGTGAACAGCGTTCACAAGGTCATGCCTGCCGGCGAATCCCACGTGAGCTCTGCCTTGAAAGCTGCAGGAGAGTTCAGCGAACGAAAGGCCGGTAAGGTGAACAGACAACCGCTGTCGGAATTGAGCAACGGGAGAGACGCGGCACTGTCAAGAGACAAATACGCAATGCCGTCGGATGGCAAGCCGCATGCTGTGAGAAAGACTGTCAGTTACAGCGTGGTGCCGTCAGGCAGTGCCTCGTCACACACGCGGACGCCAGCGGAGAAGAGTAGTGGCGACCTCGGCTTATTTACGTGTCGCGGCGTTGACGCGGTGGGGCCATTATCGAGACAAAAGAGCATGCCTTCTCTGGGCAGAGTGTCGAGTACATCGCTGACGCCTGCGATCGCCGCTGGCAACCGCGACAAAGAAAATGTGCGTGTGGAGAGAAGAAGCGAGCGTGGGAATGAGGCGACTCCAATTGCTACGACCTGGGCAGAGCCTGTCAGGGAGTTATCCGAAGCTTCCAGGGATTTGTCGGCTAAACATACGGACTCTCGTGCCCGGATGGATTTACTGTTTGAAGGCGGAGGCGAAATTGCTGCATCCGCAATGCGCAGCCATGGCAACCGCGGCATATATCCACCAGCCCTACGCGCAGGACATACAAGCAGCATCCGTAGCAGAACTGCAGTCAGCCATCATAATCTACTCCCGGGCATGTCTGCAAAGACTGCCCTTATTAGACCAGAACCTGTGAGTCAGCAAGACAACCACACTGGTGGTCAGAAGTCTACCCCGCAGCTACTGGCACAGGGTTCTACTGGTAGTATGTCAAATGGTGAGTTAGATTAGTCAATATCGCAGTATGCATTCTAGGGAAGGAGATAACTTTTGCTTTACTCATTTTGCGTTAATAGCTCTTGGAATCATCAACCCGCTGCCTTTTGTTGTAATTGTCTGTTTGTTACATGGCAGTGTCGGTGTCAGCAACCACGTTCAGCGGCCAGGATGTTTCATCCAGTCTGCAGCTTAGCAGTCAGCCATTCCAGGTCATCCACAATGGGGTTAAAATGACTGTAGTTCCGGCTACAGCTTGTCCGACACCGACAACGTAAGCGCCATTTCTTTATGGTTCACAGAATTTTCTTCATTTTATTCTGATGAACTGGTTATAACTGGTGTGCTATGAAATGTTGTGTACCTTTTCTGGCTGCAAGGTCGTTACTTTTATTGGGACAGATGGTAAGCATTTGTAAATAATAATAATAATTATAATGATAACATAATAAATAACATAATGTAATAATAATAATATAATCGATTGTTTTGGCACGTTCTTTTGTTGTGCGTAGGGAGCAGACGGCGACGTCGGCCACTCAGCATGCGGCCGCCTCATCTCTGATTCGGGACCTGGGTAAGGACATCATCACGATCAATGGGAAGTCCTACATTGTCTTCACACTGCTCGGCAAGGGAGGGTCCAGCAAGGTAGGATGACACGTGCTGCAAGAGAAGCGCACTGCTTCAGTGGCATCGGTTTTTTCATATCAACATGTTTTTTTCATGTTTCGCAGCTTCACTCTGGTTTGGGCAAGTTTGGCCCATTTACGTTTGTTGTTTCGTTAAAATTTCAATTGAATTGGTCACAGAAATTACATCTTCGAAAATATTAAGTTTATTTATTTCTCGTTGTTCTGCTAGTTTGATTTGATTTCATAATTCTATTGTTATTGGATTAAAGTAACAGTGATGAAGCAGAAAGTGAGGTCTGTCTAAGATTATATGAGAAAAAGGCTAACACAACATCCCAGATGTGTAACTAAATCTATAAGATAAATCATATTACAATCAATGGCATAAACGAATCTGGTAATTTTTACAGGTGTACCAAGTGCTAGACAGTGAGAAGAAGCGCTATTTGGCTGTCAAATGTGTAGACCTAGATGGCGCTGATGATGTGACTATTAAGTCGTATGAGAATGAGATAACACTACTGCGCAGGCTGGAGTACAGTGGAAAGGTCATCAAGCTTCACGACTAGTAAGTCACAAAGTCACAGTTTGTGCTTTGTCGCGAAAGCATACAGAGAATACTTGCTATGTACGGAGCGAGTTCCCACCTGCCCAGATCTGATGACTCAAGAGTATATGCTCTAACTGGCATTCAGGTTTAAAAGAACAACATTTTCACACGTGTGCCCGCTTTTGTTCGTTTTTATTTTCTGCAAAAACACTCGCTAGATTTTTACCTTTCTTTACTGAACTTGTTTGCAATTACACTCTTTTGATTTTATCACAATTCGTCAACAAGTCAAACATGGGTGTAATGGCTCGAGCATAACTGAAATCAGGAATTACCGCAATGCCAAGATAGGTTTCGTTATTCTTCGACTTTTACGATCTGCAACCTTGGCTTCTTGCCTCATGTGAGCTGGCTCCTGTGTGCATGCTTCGTGACACTCTACTTGTATCTGTTCGTGGGTAGTGAGTACAACAAGCAGCAGAAGTGCCTTTATCTGCTGATGGAGTCCGGTGACACCGATCTCGCCGTGTGGCTGCGCAGTCGCAACAAGACGGGACAGAACACGCACGAGATGCGCATGTACTATTGGGCCGAGATGCTCAAGTGCGTCGCGATCATACACAAAGAAGGTACGCTGCCGAACGCGCGTCACTTTCGCTGCCGTCGGAAGTCGTGGCCGCGTGCGCACGACAGTGAGCGCAACCGCATCTCTAGCTACTGCCACCTACCGTCTCGTTGCATGGCTAAAGTCAGCTCAAATGTGCGACCATCATTTACAAAGCGGTTGGGTCGGGCGTTCGTCACTCCACTGCTGTGAGATGTTGGTGCAAACTGCAGCAACCACTTCTTGTGTACTAAGTACAGCGTACCTTCCCCCCAATAACAACGTCCGTAAGGATTGTTTTATGAAGACGTGTCTTTTAAGCGATGTGCCTGTTTATCTATCTATAACTTCACTGCGTTACATAATTGCAGTGACAGCTATATAAGCTAGAGCTACATTGAGCTGCAGTTTTGCTTTGTTAATGTCCTTCTTTATGTTGTGAAAAGATTGTGCCACGAGGAAATTGTTATGTTACAATTAATTAAATCTAGTACAGATGTTTTGATAATTATTCATCGTAAATGATATTTAGTAGGAATTAGATATAATTGTTGTTTTTGTAATTGTTCAGGGATTGTCCACTCTGATCTGAAGCCAGCCAACTTCCTCATTGTGAGAGGTGAATTGAAACTGATCGATTTTGGGATTGCAAATGCCATTCAGAAGGACAAGACAAGCATCACCAAGGATTATCAGGTACTTATACTAATATATATTTGTGTGTGTGTGCGTGTGTGTGTGTGTGTGTGCATGCGTGCGTGCGTGTGTGCGTGTGCCTGTGCCTGTACATTTGAGTGTGTGACACACACATATTTGTTACATGCATGGCTGCAAAAAAATACTGCATTGTAATTGGTGATGAGCAACAAAGTAGTGATGAGCAACAAAAGAAGGTTTGAACAAATGAACGAGGACAGTATATGAGATCTGATAATACTAAATAAGATATTAAAATTAGGTTTGAAATTTTGTCAAAATTTAAAGTTTATATTTATTTCATGTGGATTAAAATGGGGAATCGAAGAGCGAATCAAAATGTAACCTTAAACTTTCGACTATTTTTTAATCTAGATGGGAACACTAAATTATATGAGTCCTGAGGCCATCCAGGATACATCGGATCCATTCCAATATGAGGCCGGTGGGAACAAGAAACACATCTACAAGGTATGCTCACGCACTTGTCATCTCACCAAGTCACCGTTTAACTATCGAGGGATCTTTCAGAGAGCATCAACGTTAGCCATTGCTTACATAGCCCAGTGTGCTGCACTGAAACCATCTTTTTAGCAGTATCGTTGTACCTCCCCTCCCTGTATCCTGAATCTAAACCAGGTTTTTACCTGAACCCCTGCATTTTGCATTAATACTGGGTTTTCAGCCATAACCCTGTATTCCCCTTTCCTGAATCGCAGCGAGGTTTCTAGCCTCACGTGCTAACGTTTTTATCTCGTCTTCACATTTGCTATGGTCTTCGTGCAGGTCGGAGTGAAGGCGGACGTGTGGTCGCTGGGATGCATCCTCTACAACATGGCGTATGGGAAGACTCCCTTCCAGCACATCACGAACCAGATAGCAAAGCTGCAGGCCATCATAAACCCGGCTTACGACATCAAGTACCCCGACTGTGGGGAACCCGAACTTGTAGACACGCTGAAGGTAGGTGCGGCTGTCATTGGCTGCTAGTTAAATTCTGTCTGGGTTGCTTGGCGTTATTAGGGATGATAGGTACGAGAGTGGTAATGATGGATGTCACTGGAATATTTCTTCTGGCTGAATTTTTATTTTGGGGCATATTTAAAACATCCATCATTGTTGGAACGATTCAATGGATGTATGTGTCATCATGCATGGCTACGCAAGTGGTGATGTTAATTTATTAAGATATGTTGTTCTTGTTGTCATGTGCAGTACTAGTAAGTTATGTTAACATGATGTGAGTATTTAAAAGCATCTGTAGCCTGCCTCCCATTTCAAGCCTTTTTAGCTCATCTGACATAGTCAGATGCAGCTTGTAGAATCGCTTGATCGTCCGTCCGTCCGTCCGTCCGTCCGTCCGGTCGTCCGGTCGTCCGTCAACAGTTGGGCACAAATCTTAACCGCTTGACGTACGGTCACGATATTCGGCACATTGGGGGGATCGTCAAAACGAGTTGGGCTGTCGAAGCTGGGGGTCAAAGGTCAAAGGTCAAGAGGTGTAAAAGAAGGGGGAACATTCACTCCTTAACTTAAGGTATAGGGAGAAAATGCAGAATTGCGGCACAAATCTAAACGGCTCGACCTAGGCTCGTGATAGTCGGTGTATAGCATCATGGTAGGAAAAGCCATCACTGTGCAGAAATTGGAGGTCACAGGTCAAAGGTTAATGGGCACAGGGCAGATTTTAGACATTTTCTGAGGACATGGTCTGACGGAGCGATTGAAAAACTTTTTTGTTTCAGCGGTGACCTAGCATTTTTATGGCATTATTGAAAGGACCATGAAATCTACTTTCAGCTGACATGCGAAGAGTAAGTGTCAGATAACCTTTTGACCCTCAAGAGGAGGGTTAAACATGGATTTGTTGACTGTCTGTTAGAAAGAATTTGACTGCCGGGTTTGCTAGTAGAATCTATACATGCCTGGATGTATGAGGCTACAATGTCACAGTGAAATTTCAAAAGCTAAATTTGGTTAAAGAAGGTTTATGCTCCTTAAATCGTATAATTTATATGGCATTCTGTAGTGTCAGTATGTTACATGTAACGTATGCTGCTGCCAGTGCATGTGTTGGGGCAGTTTTTGCCTGCGTTAATTGGTTGCAGGTGGCAGCTCTCTATTTGCAGCCTGTAGGCTTGCGTAGGTAAATGGATGAGTGCTTACCTATTCTGTCTTGCAAATAGTTGTTGCTACTACGAATGATGGGAGCTTCCATCTTTAATCTGAAGACACTTAAACGTACGCGCCATCTCGTGGCAACTTTCATAACGATCCCAACGAACATTCTTTTGAGAAGGTTCCTGATACCATCTCTGTGCATTCCACTATTTCGGCGTGTATGTGAACACATTTGGGACTAACAGGGTTTACTAGAATCCCACCACTCCACCACAGAGTCACCGCAGTAGACGTTAGATGAGCGCTGTCGCTATGCGGCACTTGTTATATATATATATTATTCAGTTATAGTCATATGTTTAAGGTTTCCCTAAGTGTATACACTCGTAATTTTGTTGCTAAATATCGAATGGATGGATTTCAGAAATGTCTCGACAGGGACCCAAAGAAGAGAGCATCCATCGCTGATTTACTGAATCATCCATATCTTAACAAGAAACGAGGTAAGCCTTCACACTAGTGATTGTCCCACTGTGTGATCAATTATAATCGATTATCATCTTTTGGGTGTAACCGATCATCGATTATGAAATTCGCACTGATTCCCATCGCAACTTCACACGTGCATCATGGTGTAAACACTCAATGGATCAGAGTAATCTACGTGATCATTCGCTTGCCTTTTCTTCACTTCACTTGTCAGGTTTCATTGTCTTAATCTTTCAGCCGCTGATGTCAGTACGTTGACGGAAGACAAGCTGAAGAAGATACTGCTGCAGATCCAGCAAGCAGACGTAAACTCACCCACGACACTATCGGCCATTACAAGGGTACGGTCGAGTGGCCAGCTACTGGACCGCACTGCGCAGTGCCACAGTAGTACCTCCTTAACACGATACTCTCGGGGCAATTCTTTCAATAGTTATGGTAGCTAGTATCTTTATAGTGAAAAAGTCCTAAAAAAGCACGTTTACTGTTGTAGGGAGTGATTCAGAACCTGCAGTCTGGAAAAGAAGTTGACATATCTTCCATTCTCAGCAAGAGACAGGTAGGCGAACAGTGTCTGAAATTAGTGTGTTACTTGCCATTACGCTAATCATTTCTCGGCATGTATCCATAATGAACGGATGCGTGTCAGACGCTGCCGTCCGTATCCAGACGCCCACCTTATCGAGTCATATGGTTTTGTTTTGCTAGGCTGCACAGAGTGGTTCCAGCTCACCAGTGTGACGATTCAACCACGGGTGCAGTGACACGCACATCTTGCACAAAAGTGACGACGCAGAGAGAGAGAGAGAGAGCGAAAGAGAGATTAGGGGAGGGTAAAACACAGAGTGAGTGAGAGAGAGAGAGCTGGAGTTATAAACTCTACGGGAAGGTGCCTACGTGCAGGGCAAGCTTAATTAGCTCGTAATGGTGAGGGTGGTTACTTTGTGATCACCAGTCGTTCACTGTTATGAGTTTATTTGGATCTGTGATTACCAACGCTATTATATATATTTAGTTAAAAATACACAACCACACCACATGGTAGTGAAGTTCCAAAAGAAATATTTAGTTCTAAATTGCTAATATTTGTGTAATAGTGAACCAAATAACAAGATGGATTTCTGTAGCGTATTTAATTTGTCTATTAACGACAACAAATCAAGTTACAGTATTGCTATTTCTTTCGTGCACGTTAATTTCTATATAATAATTTTAAGGTATATATACCCTACAAGATAAATGTATATCTCGTAGTTACCACTGAAATATTGATAGCAGCAAAGATGAGAATAATTTCTGTAAAGAAAAGATTGGGAGAAAGTGGCCACTTCAGTATAAATATTTCCCATTTCTTATCACTGATTAAAATCGGCATCCAAAATTTATGATCTTGTCATAAATTTTATGCTTGGGCTCTCATGACTACCTCAGGAGGGAAAATGCGATCAGGTTAAATTTCACACATGTTTACTGGGCTAGTAGAGATTTCCCCTTCATGGCTAGACATGTTGTAATTGAAAATGTGGTATCGCTTTTGTGATTGATATAAGATGACATATTAAAGGTGATTTGCAAGGCATTGACCCATGTGGAGAGTTTGTTGGCGTCGTCCTGGAGAAATTGATCTGTCTTGTTGGACTGTCTTGAAGTCGGAAGACTTGACCTCGCTATATACACTATATGTTGCAGTGAGCGAACAGACGTATCTGTGAGGTGATGACATAAGTCTTTGTATATACACATTGGCTCCAGAACAATACCGTGTGAGCTTTCACTTGCTGTACCTTCGCAGGTTTGCTATGGATGCCACGTATGTTAGAACGGTTTTTTAGGAAGGCTCTTATCCTACCAAGGATGCTGTATAGTGTTGTTTTTTGCATCAAACTCATTGCGGAATTAAGGTGAAATATTTGACTTATTTTTTGGTGTTTGTTGGTTTGGCCCAGTCGTGTATAGATGAAATATGGCTGGTGTGTAGGTGGTTTCCTATGTCATTGTTCGCCTGTTCCTTTGAGTTTATTGATAATCTTGTCTATTTTATGCGTTAGCCACTTGATTTTCCACCTACACTAAAAAGGCTACTTAATTATGGCATGCCTTGGTCAGTTTGTTTGGAATGTTTATTTTCTTCATAGCAGCGGTAAATGAGAATGGATAACGGTTTCGTTTTTTTCAGTTCAGTGTATTGTTTGCTGGGTCTAGGTGAAATCATTTTGTTCATTATGTTTATAATTGGTAATATTTGCATGGGTGGTACCTTCCTCCTTGATATATATGTATTTCTGTGAATATGCGTGTAACTACTATTCGCGGCATCCGAATTATCGACTGGATCGGATGTCCAGTAGTCGAGAAGCCCTGCGACCGATTGTCATTGGTGTAATTTACTTTGAGGGCCCATTTTCAGAAACACAAGCAGTTATGACTACCAAACGTATGAAATGGCATGACATTTGCATGACACTTCACCTCAAAAGTCACGCCATGTTAGACTTATGAACTCATAACGACAACGGGCCCCTGAAGTGCGGTAACCAACCAGTGTCTATCGTCACAAATATACATATAAACAAAAGGATGTCAATATATAACACAGAGTTCGCCGTTTGATTTATACTGCATTATTTTGCTTACGTATGTATACCTCTATCTATATAGCGACTTTTGTTGGTCACGAGGCCAAGGCACTTCCACAAATTCTTAAATAACATACGATCCGGCTCCTTATATGATATTACGATAATGATTATTTTGTCATATTAGATGTACGGCAATATGACGATAAGCTACATAATAGACATACTGGGCTCTAGAATGCCAAGAGGTATTCGATACCTATAAGGAAATGGGTGCGGCTTCCTTTACTTTCAATTAAGCATATTATTCAGAACAATTAAATTTAAGAAAATATTGTTGCGTACATATGTTTTATGGATTGGGCGGCGTTTCTATTCGACGTTTATTTATTTTCACATATGCTGGGCGGGCTTTTTCACGATTTCAAGACATACATCTCGGATAAGATTAGGCTGAGTAAGAGGCCGGGGTAGTTTTATTATTTGTATCATTCATTTAAATTTAATCTTAGTTTATGACATTAGTGTGTGTGTGTGTGTGTGTGTGTGTGTGTGTGTGTGTGTGTGTGTGTGTGTGTGCGTGAGTGCGTGCACGTGAGTGCGTGCACGTGAGTGCGTGCGTGTGCGAGTCTGCGTGTGTGTGCGTGAGTGCGTGCGGGTCTGCGTGAGTGCGTGCGGGTCTGCGTGAGTGCGTGCGTGTGTGTGCGTGCGGGTCTGCGTGTGTGTGCGTGCGGGTCTGCGTGTGTGTGCGTGAGTGCGTGGGGGGTCTGCGTGTGTGTGCGTGAGTGCGTGCGGGTCTGCGTGAGCACCGTTTCAGGCGTGCAGTACGGACTGAAGAAATTGAATAATATAGCGTTCTGGGAGAGGGATATGAGGCGGAGGAAAGGCGGCAGGAAATATAGTTGCGGGGCGGTAGAAGAAGAACGAGGATGAGCGAGTGACAAATGAGGCAAGGGAAAGGATAGGAGGGGATGAAGTATGAGTTTTACACCCTACAGGCTAGGGCGCTATTCTAATTATAAACACAGGTCTACTGATAACAATTTATTACATAAATCTATGCGGAGATACCTCCTAACCATATTAAATGTATATTAATACCAAAATATCACTCCTCTGGTGAGATATTGCGCATGCGCTAACACACTAACGTGGCCTGATCGTGTACCGACTGGTATATGCAGCACGCACCTTACATGCAAGGTCTTCTTCCTATTTTTTAAGGGAGGTCTACTAATGGCCTGTTATCATACAAATATATGCTAGAATACCTGCTCTTTATTTTAAATGCATAATCTTCCCAAAATATCATTCGTGTCGAGAGATACTGCGCATGCGCGGGCACCGTTTTAGGCGTGCAGTGCGGACTGAAGAATACTGCTTAATATAGCTTGCTGAGAGAGAAAGAGAGAGAGAGAGAGAGAGGGGGGGGGAGAGACTAAGGAAATGCGGCAGGGCAGATAGCTGAGGGCGATAAGAAGAAGATGTAGGCTGAGCGAAGGACAAGAGAAACAAGGCGAAGGATGGTAGGGGATGCAGTAGGAGTTTTGCTCCCTACAGGCTAGGGCGCTCGCCTAATTATAAACACAGGTCTACTAATAACGATTTATTACATTAATCTATGCTGAGATACCCCTTAACCATATTAAATGCATATTCATTACAAAATATGCCTCCTTTGGTGAGATATTGCGCAGGCGCTAACACACCAACGTAGCCAGATTGTGTACTGACCGATATATGCAGCAGACACCGTACATGCAAGTTCCTCTTCCTATTTCATAAAGAGAGGTCTACTGATGGCATGTTATTATATAAATCTATGCTAGGATACCTGCTCTTTATTTTAAATGCATAATTTTCCCAAAATATCAATTTTTCGAGACATACTGCGCATGCGCGAGCACCGTTTTAGGCGTGCAGTTCGGACTAAATAATACTGCTCAATATAGCTTTCTGAGAGAGAGAGAGAGAGAGAGAGAGAGAGAGAGAGAGAGAGAGAGAGAGAGAGAGAGAGAGAGAGAGAAGAGAGAGAGAGAGAGAGAGAGAAGAGAGAGAGAGAGAGAGAGAGAGAGAGAGAGAGAAGAGAGAGAGAGAGAGAGAGAGAGAGAGAGAGAGAGAGAGAGAGAGAGAGAAAGCGAGAGCTGGGAGACTGAGGAAATGCGACAGAGAATATAGCGAGGGCGGTAGGAGAAGATGTAGGCTGGGCGAGGGACAAGAGAGGCAAGGGGAAAGATGGTAGGGGATGCAGTAGGAGTTTTGCTCCCTACAGGCTAGGGCGCTCTCCTAACTATAAACACATGTCTACTGATAACAATTTATTACATAAATCTATGCTGAGATACCCTCTAACCATATTAAATGCATATTCATTACAAAATATTACTCCTTTGGTGAGATATTGTGCATGCGCTAACACACTAACGTCGCCAGATTGTGTACTGACTGATATGTAGCAGAAACCTTACATGCAAGTTCCTCTTCCTATTTCGTAATAGAGGTCTACTGATGGCATGTTATCATATAAATCTATGCTAGGATACCTGCTCTTCATTTTAAATGCACAATTTTCACAAAATATCATTTTTCTCGATCGATGCTGCACATGCGCGAGCACCGTTTTAGGCGTGCAGTGCGGACTGAATAATACTGCTTAATATAGCTTGCTGAAAGAGAGAGGGGTGGGAGACTGAGGAAATGCGACAGGCCAGATAACTGAGGGCGGTAGAAGAAGATGTAGGCTGAGCGAGGGTCAAGGGAATCAAGGGAAAGGACGGGCGGGGATGCAGTGGGAGTTTTGCTCCCTACATGCTAGGGTGCTCTCGTAATTATAAACACAGGTATACTAGCTGATAACAATTTATTACATAAATCTATGCTGAGATACCCCCTAACCATATTAAATGCATATTCATCACAAAATATCACTTCTCTGGTGAGATATTGCGCATGCGCTAACACATTAACGTAGCCAGATTGTGTAATGACTGGTATATGCAGCGGGGACAATATCTGCACGATCTTCTTCTTATTTCTTAATTGAGGTCTACTGATGACATGTTATCATATAAATCTATGCTAGCATACCTACCCTTTATTTTAAATGCATAATTCTCCCAAAATATCATTCTTCTCGAGTGATGCTGCGCATGCGCGATAACCGCTGTAGGCCTGCAGTGCGGACTGAAGAATACTGCTTAATATAGCATGCTGAAAGAGAGAGGGGGTGGTAGACTAAGAAAATGCGACAGGGAAGATAACTGAGGGCGATAGAAGAAGATGTAGAATGAGCGAGCGACAATGGAGGCAAGGGGAAGGACGGGCGGGGATGCAGTAGTAGTTTTGCTCCCTACAGGCTAGGGCGCTCTCCTAATTATAAACACATGTCTACTGATAACGGTTTATTCCATAATTCTATGCTGAGATACCCCCTAACCGTATTAAATGCAAATTCATCACAAAATATCACTCCTCTGTTGAAATATTGCGCATGCGCTAACACACTAACATAGCCAGATTGTGCAATAACTGGTGTATGCAGCGGTGACCATACATTCACGGTCTTCTTCTTATTTCTTAAGAGAGGGTAACTGATAGCATGTTATCATATAAATCTATGCTAGCATACCTACTCATTATTTTAAATGCATAATTTTCCCAAAATATCATTCTTCTCGAACGATGCTGCGCATGCGCGAGCACCGTTTTATGCGTGCAGTGCGGACTGAAGAATACTGCTTACTATAGCTTGCTGAAAGAGAGAGAGAGGGGTGATAGACTGAGGAAATGCGGTAGGGAAGATAGCTGAGAGCTGTAGAAGAAGATGTAGGCTTGGCGAGGGACAAGGGAGGCAAGGGGCAGGACGGGCGGGGATGCAATAGGAGTTTTTCCTCCCTACAGGCTAGGGCGCTCTCCTAATTATAAACACAGGTATACTGTTAACGATTTATTACATAAATCTATGCGGATACACCCCCTAACCATATTAAATGTATATTCATCACAAAATATCACTCCTCTGGTGAGATATTGCGCATGCGCTAACACACTAAAATAGCGAGATTGTGTACTGACTGTTATATGCAGCAGGCACCTTACATGCAATGTCTTTTTCCTATTTCTTAAGCGAGGTCTACTGATGGCATGTTATCATATAAATCTATGCTAGGATACCTGCTCTTTATTTTAAATGCATAATTTCCCTAAAATATCATTCTTCTCGGGAGATACTGCGCATGCGCGAGCACCGCTTTAGGCGTGCAGTGCAGACTGAAGAATACTGCATAATATAGCTTGCTGAGAGAGAGGGGTGGGAGACTGAGGAAATCTGACCGGGAAGGTAGAAGAAGAGGGAGGCTGAGCGAGTGACAAGTGAGGCAAGAGGAAGGACAGGAGCGGATGCAGTAGGAGTTTTGCTCCCTACAGGATAGGGCATTCTCCTAATTATAAATACAGGTCTACTGATAACAATATTTTACATAAATCTATGCTGTCTCCTCTGGTGAGATATTGCGCATGCGCTAACACACTAGTAGCTTAGCCAGATTGTGTAGGGTACTGACTGATATATGCAGCGGGATCTTACATGCACGGTCTTCTTCCTATTTCGTAAGTCAGGTCTACTGATGGAATCTTAACATATATATATATCTATGTTCGGATACCTATTTTCTATTTTAAATACATAATTTTAGCAAAATAATATTTTTTTCTCGGTAGAATCGGGCCCCTATCTAGGCCCTATCTGGATGCTGTTAGCGTTGAATTGGCATGTCTGTGTGTGCATTTAAATAAGTAAGTGGTGTGTATGTTTCTACTCCCATGTATTTTGATGCTTTTTTCCACTTTTTGAACAGTTTCTTTAATTTTGTAGCTTTAGTAATAAGTGCACTCGATCATTTTATCTGTACTATTGAATAGAAAGATAGCACACATACAGACAAAATATAATATTAATAACGTACAAATCAGTGCGTTTCTACATCGCATTTGCTATTAGGAACGATGGCGATGGACGCATAAAAGTTTCCTATTCTGCCAAGTGATGGCGCTAGTATCGGCAATGAAGCAGTAATCGGCGTCATCGTAAACTATACTTATTGAAATATTTTGGTAAATATTGTCATAACAAAGCATAGTAATTTATATTTTGGTACTGTATTAAATGTATTCTGGTGTAAACCTTCATTTTATAATCGATCCTTACACGCGTTGCACATGCTTCATCATTCATGTGGCAAATCATTCTTTGATTATCGCGCTTTCAATCTGAATTAGGCTTGACTACTGACACTGTGATACAAATACAATGTACAAATAAATAGTTACTTTGTTTTAATTGCGATGTTCACGCGGCAAGTTCAGGGGAGGAAGGTTACTGTAGACTGTGCAGCACAGGCACTCACGAGTTAACAAACCCGTTACACAAAGGATGCTTACAGAAAAGTCATGACATAACTGTTTGTTTGTGTAGCTGCTGCTCTTGTACCATATAATGATATATATCTCTTGTTGCCATGGCATTACAGGGACATTGCAGGCAGGCCTGTGGCAGTAGAACAAGTATAGAAACAAGGGGCTATAGTACTAGAGTTAGCATTGTTTGTGGTGCTCCAGCAAACTTACGTGAATTCAGTTTTCATACGGATTTAACCCTACCCTGTTTGGTAAAGGGTAGCTCTAGTACTATAGCTTGCGTACAGTGACTGCTGCAGGGATATAGAACATCTTGAACTAGATTTCACAGCTGCACCAGCTCCCCAAAGTTCCCACGAAAAATCGCTTACAAAACGCAAAATGTTCGGGCTTTTTAACGCATCTATCTAAAGGCTTTCATTTTTAGGGGGCGCGATCGCGCGCGATCGCGCTCCACCGCGCACCCCAAATTGTGCCCACTGCGCACCCCAAATTGTGCCCACTGCGCACCCCAAATTGTGCCGTGGTGCGTGCATCATCGCGCCTCATAAAAGTGGTTGAAATATCAAGCACCAAAAGTCCCTTAGTACTACTAGTAATACTGGCAATGCCACCTGTCACAATTATTACAAAGGTTAGCGACACACAACAATTTGTGGTGTGTAAGTAAGTTAAAGTAACTGAATGTATGACAGAGGTACAGGTTACTACCCTCTGGTTTATACAACTAGACAACAGCATCCAAATACAGGTACCTACACGGTAGCCACAAGTTACCTGCTCGTTTTCCACTATACGTGGCGAGAAGTGGTTTTCTGCCAACGTGAAACAGTCGTAGGGCTAGAGGGGCTACATACGTGGCTACTACGTACAAGTAATTTGGCTAGTTGTTGATGGATTGTGATGATATTTTGTGCTGAAATATTCAGGTACATGGATTAGACTAGTCTCTAAGGATGAAGATCAGAATAAATATAACAAGTTTATTTTTACATCTGATCAACTCTTTTATTAATCTGTGTGCTAGTGTTGGGTTCTTGGATGAAAAGAATGTAATCATGACGAAGCCATTGAATGAATGAAGGTGAAGATGAATGATAATCAGTAGATTGACATGACATCCCAATTTTCGTTTTGGATTTCACTCTAGACTGAGGATTGGTCATGATTCCATCATCACACTCCAAGAGGCATGATGGAGAGCCCTTTTAAGGGTGTGATTTTTAGTGGAGCTCTCCATCATGCCTCTTAAGGGTGTGATTTTTTATTGGAGCTCTCCATCATGCCTCTTAAGGGTGTGATTTTTTATTGGAGCTCTCCATCATGCCTCTTAAGGGTGTGATTATGGAGCGTGAAAAGACCACCTATGGTGTCCTAGGGGAGTCATTAGTAGTCCTGTACTTTTCAAATCTGAAAGCCTGTATCTACGTGGACATCTTACCTATCTTTTTGAACAATTTCCACAACTTTACACCATGTATTTATGCATTTAAATGCATAAATACATGGTGTAAAGTTGTGGAAAGTGTTCAAAAAGATGGGTGAGATGTCCACATAGATAGATAAGTGTTAAAAAGCCCGATCATTTTGCATTTTGTAAGCGATTTTACGTGGGAACTTTGGGGAGCTGGTGCAGCTGCGAAATCTAGTTCAAGATGTTCTATAGCCCTGCGGCAGTCACTGTACGCGGGCTATAGTACTAGAGCAAGGTAAAGGGGAGCTTATAATGGGCTTGCGAGCCGACTCGACTGGAAGCAACTGGCTGCAATTCACTGCGACTGCAGTGCTTAGGTTGGTCGACTGCGACGCGACTGCCTGCGACTGGCCGCCACTAGTTGCTCGGAATAGAACAGTGGGCAACTGGACACAACTAGTTGCTGCCGATCGCTTCCAGTTGCTCGAAATCCAGTTGCTTCCAGTCAAGTCGGCTCGCCAGCCCGACATAAGCCCCCCTTAACATTATTGTATCTTATATTTATTAGCTCATCTGACATAGTCTATGTAGGTAGGAAAAGCCATCACTGTGCCGAAATTGGAGGTCAAAGGTCAATGGGGCACAGGGCAGATTTTAGACATTTTCTGAGGACATGGTCTGACGGAGCGATTGAACAACTTTTTTGTTTCAGCGGTGACCTAGCATTTTTATGGCTTTATTGAAAGGACCATGAAATGTACTTTCTGCTGACATGCGAAGAGTAAGTGTCGGATGAGGCTACAGTTGCACAGTTCAATTGCAAAGGCAAATGTTTGTTGAACAAGGTTTACGCTCCCTAAATCATATTATTTTCTAAAGCAGTATGTATTAGCACCCTGAGTAGCACCCTGTATTAGCACACTGTAATGAACCCTCAATGCTCGCGTGGGTAGGCAAAAACATGGTGGCAGCCCATTACGCATGCATGGGGGTGAACTGGCACTATTCTAATCATAATTATTGATGGCTCACCGCACTGGCAACCTGCAATGCAGATGTGTTAACTCACAGCTGAGCGAAATTCTCGCCTGCCTGAATATACTTGGATTTCAGCAACTCAATGGAGTGAGGTTATCACGCACGAAGGGTGATGCCATCTTTGATTATTGATGACACTTGCACGCGCCATCTCGCGGCAACTGCTTTTGCTATTAGAGCCCCCTCCATCCGATGGATGTTATGATCCTGCTAAACCTCGGCTGTAATGTTAACAAATTTATTTACAACCAAAATGGCAAAAGCAATGATGTCGTTGTAAAATGATTTGTTTTTACTTGGCTCTTGGTTAAACATGTTAAAGCAGCATTCCAGCCATAATTATGAAATTACATAAATTTTCCTAGCCATATGTAGTAAAGCAAGTGTGAGAGCCATATATGTGTAATGTACCTACTTATATAATAAACTAGTCACCCTTTCAGCATTAAACATCCACGTAGACTATATAGTGTGCTCCATACATAGTGAAACATGTGCAAGGTTGATGAGTGTGAAATGTTTGAAACCAAAATATAAAAAACTACGCAAACATGCAACAATAGCTGCCGTGGTGGGCAATCCACAAAGTTAACATTGCCGAAAACCGTTCATCGGGTTTCAGGATTGTCGAAGTGCTGGTTTAAACGTTAGACGTGAATAACAGTAGCGCATAATGAATTCATCCACATACTTTGACCTGTTCTCCGTTTATCTCGTAGCGTGACTGCGCTGCTGGACCAACGTCTGTGCACAGCCTGACAGCTGTCCATCTCATCTCTCCCAGTACGTTTACTCGTAGGTGTAGTACTTTCAAGAGGATCGCACCCGGCAACAAAAAAACCCAGGTTAACAACGCATCTCCGCCTCTTCGTCAGAAGCCGACCCCGCGCCGCGATGAGCCGACGGCGACCGAACGCCGCCGACGCCGCGGGTTAGCCGTCGCCGCGGCGATGTCGAGCGAGACGGACGACGACGACGTGTACGTCGCGCGACTGCGCGAGGTGTTCAACGACTGCTGCGACGACGGGCAGCAGCAGCAGCAGTGCGGCGACGCGAGGCTCGGACGCGACGGGCTGCTGCTGCTGTGCGAGCGGCTGCAGCTGCAGGAGCAGGCCGGCAATCTCCTCGAGCGCTGCACGGCAGGGCGCACCGACGGCAAGGTACGTGCGCGCGAGCCGGGGGACGTCGCGACCTTAACTTGGCAAGGTCGCGAGCCGAGCGGGGCGAGGTCGTGATCTTATCTCGACAAGGTCGCGACCTGGGTGAGGTGAGGTCATGAACTCGGCTTGACTCGGTTGCAACTCGAGCAGGGCCAGGTCGGGACCTTGACTTGACCAGGTTGTGACCCGATGGGGTGAGGTCGTGACCTGAGTAGGGCGAGGTCACAACACAAGTGAGACGAGGTGAGATTGCGACATCAGCTTGATCAGGTGGTAACTTACGCTTGGTCAAGGTCACGACTCTAAGGCACGGTGGTCGTGACGACTTCTTTTGCTCGATTAGATTGTAGCAATTAGATGAGGCAAGGTTGTGATGCAACATGAGCTGGTGGCATAAATGCTTGATCGCTGAGCTCGTTCCTAGGGTTGGTTTCAGTCCTGCCGAATACATTTTAACATGTTTTTGAGTTATGCCACCTAGGACAGATTTTGACTCGATTGTAATATAGAAACTTGGGCAATCAGGTATTTATGTGAAAAGGCCAAGGTATAAAGTATAGGTAAAAATATTTTTTGCAGAAACTTTTGTTTCATGGAAAATATTGCAAGGTTAACCCCATTGCCATTCATTGTCCCCACCATAAGGAATAAGGAAAGCAGTCTATCAGGGTCATATCTGAGAGCAAACGAGGGAACGTAAACGTTTGATCTAATCAAATTTGCTTCGATTTATTTAGCAGCATGCTCCCTCACTCCATGCTGATTGCATCGACCGCGCACACGGCTGTTGATCGAGCGCATGTGAAAATGGGTAAACTCGTCCATGCGAGATGTGTCGTGCTGCGCTGTTTATAGCTCGTGGTTTTCGTCCTGCAGGTAGATTTTGAGAACTTTAAGGAGGCGTTTGTGCTCGTGCTGTCTCAGACGGTCGACAGTACGGGCACCAGCACGGGAGTGTCGACACCGGCGGAGGGCGGGCCGGACGGCACGACAGATGATGAGAGCAGCATCGAGGACGAAATAGGTTGGTTCAGTCGGAGGCTGCGGATTTATTTAGGCGTTCGCGAAAAATACATGCCAATATCTCAAAAATTGATTTTGTGTGTGTAGATGAATATTGCTATGTGATGGTGGGCAGGTGGGAATTGCTGTTTTAGTGAGTTCCATTTAGTTATGCAAAGATGATGATTCCTATTGATTCAGTGATTTCTGTTGATAATATCAAGTGAGTGACTTATTCATATGCCGATTCTCTTGTATATAAATGCTTCCGTTAACTAAACTTTATTAAGATAAAAAATTAAACCAAATCGTCTCTTGATCACGAATGCATATAGTTTAAGTCTGCCTAGAAATTGGCATGGTGGAATCGAAGGTCTCAGTGAAAGCACTAGAATGATTGAACATGCCTGCATGCACGCACACACATGTGCCCACGTACACAGACACATACACACTCGCTGGCATGCATGCATGCACGCAAGCACATAGAAGAAATACAGACACATGCACTCACAGCCATACACATACACACAGTCACACATAAGTACATGCACACAAGCACACATGCACACCTGCATCTATAGTGATGACTTCAAAATATTTTGACCAGAATGCAATCTCATTAGTGGCATTGGTAAATGTGTTTCGTTGACTTTGATTTCAACTCCAGTTCCAGTCGAAGTGTCGCCCAAATTTGTGAAGGGCTGCAAGAAATATGGCAGACGATCGAGACCTGAGGGACCGATGCACACGGAGTCTCAAAGCGAGGATGAACAGCACAATGTGAGTGCATGTAGTACATTATAGTATAGCGTAGAGCACAATGTGAGTGCATGTAGTACATTATAGTATAGCGTAGAGCACAATGTGAGTGCATGTAGTACATTATAGTGTAGCATAGAGCACAATGTGAGTGCATGTAGTACATTATAGTATAGCGTAGAGCACAATGTGACTGCATGTAGTACATTATAGTGTAGCGTAGAGCACAATGTGACTGCATGTAGTACATTATAGTATAGCGTAGAGCACAATGTGACTGCATGTAGTACATTATAGTGTAGCGTAGAGCACAATGTGAGTGCATGTAGTACATTATAGCATAGCGTAGAGCACAATGTGAGTGCATGTAGTACATTATAGTGTAGCAGGGAGGCGAATAAGGAAAGGCGTTCTATATCAAGGAGTCATTATTCTGAAAGAAGAACAGAGGGAAATGGTAATATACGTTTGATCTGAATGTCAAAATTTGCTGTTGTGATTGATATCTGTATGAACATTGGACCGACCAGCCATGCTCCCACATCCACTGTTTCGCATGGCTGATGCGAGTCAGATACACACCAGATTTTTAATGTGGCGGGCACTCGCACTTGGCGCACAATGGATGTCTAATATATGTGCATGATGTGTGTGGCAATTGATCAAAACTTAGTCATACGCTGGGTTGTGGATGCGGACTGCCGCTCATCGTGAAATGGTTAAGACTGAAGTCTCTGTGTCACATACAGTCAATACGGGCAAGAGCGGACGATTATATTGTCTGGCGCTGGCTCGTGCAGTTTTATGGTAGGCTAGTTCGGTTTTAGTACGTTACCAAGAGATATATCAGGAATGAAACATATATGTAAAAGAGCGAGAGAAGGGTCGTTTTTGAGCGCGTCACGTCTGTCCTACCGGACGTTCGGGAAATCGGCAGCATATTCAGAACCAGGCGAGGCACGCAGCACGACAGGTGCACGAGTGGAGTGGTCGGCACGAATGGTGAGACTAGGCGCCCAGAGCTGAGCAGCGTGCTTAGGACGGCTGCTTGACCTTCCGGCAAGTAAAGAGGGCGACAGCGACATCCAACAGGCGAGGGCATCCGAGCGCAGAGGCGTCGACCACCGCGAACCGGAATGTGACTCACCGACGAAGAGGGTCTGAAATGAGCGTAGCGAGCATCGCAGTGACGGAGCATCCCGATAAGTAGATTTGTGAGTTTTCTCAGTGGCATTGCGGAGTGCGTGTGGCGGCGATTTTATTCTAGGCAGCTCGTGTCGCCGAGTAATGCAAAAAACTAAATCCATTGCCCGAATATCCTCACAAGAATGATGGTGCACATTTTGAATTGTGGGGTGAATGTAAAGTAGTGCTATGTGATGTGGGCAGAGGTCGGAATGTGGCTTGTCGTTGGTAGGTGAGTTGCCATTTATAGTTAGTGGCCATAACGATGATGATTCCTATAAGATTTCAGAGTGAGTTCTAGTGATGACGAATATCAAAGTTGGAGTGACCTTATTCATGGTGACAAAGAGGTGAAAACTCCTGATTGCTCTTGTATATAAATGCTGCTTCCGTAAACATCTAAGTATCCTATGATTGAAAGCAATTAACAAAAATTAAACCAAAATCGTCTCTTGGATCACGCAATGACTATTGATCAAGGTAGTTATAGTTCGTGCCCTAGAAAAAATTGGGCAATGGCTGGAAACATCCCCCCCCCCCCCGCCACCCCCCCCGTCCCGACCACAGGTCTCGAGTGGAAAACAGCTAAGAGATGACTTGAACGATGTTATAAGCGCCTTCAGTGTCGCAACGTCCACACCGATACAATGGTTGGCCCGCACGCACAACCAGATACACATAACACACCTCGTCTGTCATGGCAGTGCATGTCACGCAAGCGACATAGAAGAGAGATACAGAACATCCTATGGCTAACTCACAAAGCCATAGCCGACTACGAGTACAACACAGTCCACTACATAAGTACAATGCCACAACAAGCACACGATGGTCACAAGACACCGCTGCGATCATATATATGTCGAGAATGACTGCGAGAATAATTTTGTTTGACCAGAAGACAGATCCTCCAGAGCAGTTAGTTGCATTGGTGACAAACCTGTTTGTCGTTGAATTTGATGTCACACTCGCAGTTCCAAGAGTCGCGATATGTGTCCGCCCAAATTGGGAAGGCTGCAAGAATGATGGGCACGAACTCGAGTCGAGACTCTGAGCGCGGACCGATGCTAACACGGAGTCTTCAATAGCAGAAGAATGAACACCAACAATGTTAGTGCATGTAGTACATTCATACGTATAAGGCGTAAGAGCACAATGTCAGTGCATGTGAGTCACAGTTATCACGTACATAGCGTAGGAGCACATGTAGGTGCCATGTAGTGACGACTTATAGAGTGTAGGCATAGGACGCACAAATTGTGAGTGCATGTAGTGACATTATTAGGTGATAGGCTAGAGCCACAATGGTGACTGGGACATTAGTACAATGTAATAGTGTAACGCCGAAGAGCACAATGCGCACTTGCATGATAGTACATTATGAGTATGATGCGTAGGAAAGCACAATGGTGACTCGGCAGTGTAGCTACCAGTTATAGTGTAGCGCTAGAGCGAACAATGTAGTGCGCATGTAGTCACATTAAACGCACTAGCGTACGAACCACAAGGGATGTGACTGGGCAGTCAGTAAAATACCATAGTTATAGTGTACGCAGGGCGAGAATAATACTACACGGGGCGGGCGGGCGAGTTCGCCCCCGGAATGGCCAAAAAAGAGCCCCGAAAACATAGAATCGCGGGGGCGACCGCCGCAAAAAGCAAAAGTAACGGCCTGGACAATCGATTGTCCCTAGCGCGGTCCCCGAGCAGCGCCTTGCGCTACTCGCTCGGCCTCGTGACTGCTAGCGCCGGCAGCGCGGTTCACGGCTGACGGTAAAGAAGCTATGCATGGTCAGGGCCTAAGGGTGGTAATGCTTGGTTCAAGGTGTTTGACCGCGCAATATTTTAAGCATGCATGTGTATGTTGGTATACTGTGTACTGGTACTTAGGCATTCAATTCAAGCCCGCTGATGGGTCGCACTCGCCGCCACGATTGATGTGGCACACGATGCGTATCCAAATTACGTGTGTGTGTCTGGGCGCGCGTGCTTGCGTGTGTGCCGTGCTCGCGTGCGTCGTGCGTGCCTGTGGTGCTGGCTGCGGGGCGTGGTTGACATGTGTGCTGCAGCGCTGGTGCGAATTGTGGACGTGTCCTGCTGTGTGCCGGTGTGCCCACGCGGTGGTCAGTGGCATCGTGTGCGCGTGGCGGCCGTGGCCTGGCGCGCGCGTCGCCGTGCATGCGGTGCGTGCGGAGTGTGCCTGCCGGGCCGTGCCTACGTAGACCTGTCCGTGCAGGAGACCAATCGCACCCGTAGATTAATTAGAACGGAGTTAGTGATCCCATGAGAAAATCCTAATGAAATTCACACGTAATATATTTTCCCGCCCCGGCACACCATCCGTGCGGTAGTCTCATTCCCCGTGGCGAAAACGTAGTGGCAGGACTATTTTTCGCTCCAATCTCGGCACGAAAGAGTGGTATTTCTCGTCGCTCTCCTCATCAAGTGCCAGCAATGCCTACACCGCTAACGCTACATTTTAGTAGTGATTAGTACCACGCTGAAACAATCGTCCCACCCCGACACGCCGTACTTTCAATCAATGCCGGCGCCGCCACCTGGCAGCAGGCCACAGACGCCAGCGTACGGATGGCTGCACAGCCATACCCACGTGCCTGCGCGGAGCGCCCTTTCTCAAACCCCCTGAGCTTCCAGGCCTCTTATACGCGGCCCAGGCCCCAGGCCGCAAGAAGACTTCGCGTATAAACAAAGTGATGTCCGATCCGTGTGGCCACTTCGCTGTACAGGGACTATGAACGAGACTTCCACTATTTGCGCTACCGTAATAGTTCTATGTTGTAGCTTACACTATCAAGTGCATTTGATGGTTTGGCGTGACTTGATGTGTGAGCGTGCGGTGAGTGCGTCGCGTACGTGAGTGTGTGGTGTGGGCAGTGGGCGTAACCAATCCCGGGGGATGGGGGCGATGCCATCCCCCACTCTTGAGATGAGAGGGGGTGGCCCTTACAAATACTAGACCGCCCTGAGATTCAAAAAACAAAGAGAAAACAAGAATAGCCAAAAATATGATTGCGAACACATACGAAAAAACAACAGAAAATGTGAGAAATTTGCAATTCTTACCTGTGTTTCAATACATGTATTAATTACTAAATAGTAACCTTAACTGTTGACGCTCTCTGAAAAGTTCCATGAAAAGTGTTTGATTCCTTAACTGTAGGGTTGAGGTCTAGGAGTTGAGAATGTGATCAGTTCAGACATAGAAATATGGCCCACAGTATGCCTCAGAGTATGCAAAAATGGCTGTAGAACAATGATCTTCAGCAAAAGTTTTCCCCGGGGGCATGCCCCCACCACACCCCCAGTAGTCACTGGACATTGCCTACGGCAACGCGGCGCTGCTGGC